TCAGAGAGACTTGTGGTTTTCACCCAGTGTGTGAACATGTTTTCCACTCCTTGAACCCGACTGGCCAGGCTGTCTCAAAGAGGGGCCTTTTGTGCCCTCATTCTCCACCACTTGTTAGGGGCTCCCTCCCTTCCCCACAGAGGTAGGTGAGTAACCCACAAGTCACATGCCAGGTAAAACCCAAGTGCCACTCCCTGACAATGACCGAAACATCTTTGATTTTTTTGGTGTACTGAACAGAGTTTACCTGGAAATGGGGTTGGGGATATGAGAGACATCAGCGCTGGGAACAACTTAACCTTAATAACTGAACCTTATTCTAGAGATAGTTTCCTGGGTTGTCAATCTGCAGCAATCTTGACATTTTATTAACATACACTAAATTAAAATGATTAGAGGCCTAGGAGGAAAGGCTGAAAGAACTAGGATTATTTAGTCTGCAGCTGAGAAGACTAGAGGGGATTTGAAAAGTCTTCAGATATTGGAAGGGCCATTACAGAGAAGATGGTTGTAGTAGACAGGACTAGGAGCAATAGCTTCAAGCTTCAGCAAAGGAAATTTAGGTTGGAAATTAGGGGGAACTTTCTGATTATGTGGGTAGTCAGGCATTGGAATAGGCTGCCTAGAGAAACTGTGAAAACTTCTAGGGATGGAGATTCTAACAGCAGATTAGAAAGACGCTTGTCTGGGATGGTTTACCTTATCTTGAGTAGGGGGCTGAACTAGATGATCTCATGAGGTCCCTACCAGCCCTACTTTCCTATAATGCTGTGATGTATTTGATTGTTCCAAGTAGAGCTAGATCAAGTCCCTAAATTTGCCCAGTTTGTCTTCAGGGCCTTCCTTTCTCAGTTTGTCTTTGACATTCTTTGGTTGTCTATTATTTTAGAAGGTTGAATAGACCAGAAGAATAGTGGTCAAGTTTGTTCTGACATTTGGAAAAATAACTGCTCATAAAGCATTGTTACATGCAACCTGCTAAGGTTTTGATTACAGTGTTCAAAGCAAGAGTTTACCAGACAGGCTTTAATATGAAGCTACTTGTATTCTGATTAGATTTTCTATAAATAGTGCACATTAAACATAGTATCCTTTCCTGTATACCATAATGTTGGCCCTAGGTCGATAGCAATGACAATATTGTCTTTTTAATGGAGAATCTGCTGCAGTTTGAGGTAGCTCAAAATCATTCACAAAACAGGATGTTGTGTCCAAGATGAACCATTGTTTCCGTGACCTGAACACACACACGCAAACCACACAAAGTGCATCAGTCCTTATATGTAATGTTATTAGGTTTAATTCAGATTCAAAAGCACCTGTCTGCCAGGTGTGGTATTCTAACAACCTAGTGCAAGAGTGTCAAACTCATCTGGCCCTGCAGGCTGGATGAGTGGTGTAGAACCAAAAAACAGGCCATATGAATGCCATTGGACTGAACTCATTGGCCAAATTGGACCCATAGATGTGCCTCCTGGATCCAGAGCATGCAGCACCCACTCCAGCCAGACGGAGATTTGGCAGGAAGAGGCCTGGCATCTTGGGCACTTGGCTACTGCTGCAGAAACAACCCGTGGTGAGGGGTTTCCTCCCCTGGGGACAGAAATTACACACAAACCAATTTAAGTGATTGGAAACCAGTTCAAATCTGTAACACAAGAGACATTCAGTCCATATAAGCTGGTTTTGGCCATTTTGAAAGCGGTTTAAGATATACCTGGATGGATGTAGTAACAGACTGATTTAAGTTAAATCGGTTTATTGAATTTATGTCCCAGATCCCTTCCAGATTCAAGTTAACTTACAGTCCCTCAGCATCCCAGGATGCTTTGCACATCCCCTGCAACCCACCCACCCCCAAGGTGGGCAGGCTAGCCTTGGCCTAAGACCGTCTGCTCCAGCCCAGCAGGGAGGTGTGCTCTAGTGCCCCACAGCTTTTGGCTTGGGCCACTGCAGGCATGTGGTTGTATTACTGGAATCAAAAGTGAATATCTGTTCACTTGCTCATCCATTTAGACTATGCAGTTTAGACTAACCTGCAGAGACTGAATCGATTCAGCCTCAGGCTTTTTGACTGTCTGTCCTTAGCCATGGTGTTGCTCCAGTACCAAATGTTCTTGTCTGATTGCCTGGCAGCCAAGCTGGCAAGAACCAGTGCTGCAGCTCCAGCAGCACTGCGGCAAGACACCCTGCATTGTGGGTGCTTGGTAACTGCCACAGGAACAAATCGTGATGCCAAGTTTTCCCTGCGGTGCTGCTGAGGCTCCAGCCGTATGGCTATTGCTTGGTGCTTCGTTACTACCACAGGAACAAGCTGCAATGGTGCTGGGGCTCCAAGCACAGGGCGGATTGATTTAAAAAGCAAGTTGACTGAAATCATGACACAAGTCAGGAAGCAAAAAGCCTGATTTAAGTAATTGTTTTTTTATCTACTGTCCCATTGTACACTTTTGTTTTTTTAAAGAAAGGTGTATTTTCATAGATTGATATAACAATTAAAACATGTTGACTTACAACTAAATACAGTTTTTACAGTAGATTTGTAATATGCGTTTCCTAGGCACATAAAACAAACTGGAGAAACATATGTTTCTTATTCACTGGATAAATAACTTTTTGTTCATATCTGTGTAACCTGGGCGGTACCCCAAGAGGTACCCCCTCTTCAACTGAAGGGATCAAAGCAGGTGCACAAGCACTGTGGGAGGTGTAGGGACTCTCCTCCCCCTATACAGCAGAGCCAGACCATCAATGGGGACTTAACCATATACCTTTTAATGAGGGAACAATACTGGGAACATAACAGGCATAAATCAGAGGGTACAGTGGACACTACAATGCCCCAAGGGGGCAGGATTCAACAAAGGTTAGACACTTACAATCATTGACAAAACAGGGTTAACAAAATATAAAACTCAGAGAGCAGAACAAACAATACGGGTTGGTGATATATAAAACAGCACAAAATGCAAAATGACAAGGAAATATAGGGCCTAGGTACCTAGAGGGGGAGAAAGGGGGGGAAAAAAACACAATGGCTCTTTTCCACTGCAAGAAGATTTACTTCTTGTTATCTCACTCACCTCAAGTCACCCTAGCTGGGACTTGAACTCAGATCTCCCATGGAGTGCACAGAAGTATCACCACACAGCCACCAGTAGTAGCACTGCTCAAGCTTGCTAGAGGTCTTAGCCTTCCCAAAGCCCCAGCCTCACATCAAGCTGCCTGGGCTCTGACTGGAAGAGCTGAAAGCAGAGCTGGGAGCCTCTTAGGTTGCTGCTCAGATCCTTGCTGCAGCAGGGGAGACTCTCCTGCTGGCTGCAGCCTCTTGTAGGGGGTCTTGGAGCCCAGCAGGGAGCCTCTCCTGCTGGCTGCACGCCGCGCTGCTGAGGGTCCCACTGCTGCCTGCAGGTCCTGCTCTTTCAGGCTCTTCTGGGGCACTGCGCCTGCCCCACTGGCTCAGCCCTGTAAAGCCCCTTCCTTGTTGTCCCTCCCTAGGTCTTCTCTGAATCAGATGCGCTGCCCCCTTTTACCCCCTCCAGGTGACCCAAGGGGCCAATCAGGGAACATGGAGGGTGTGTCTCTGGGGCCTGATTGGTGCAGAAAGGGAATCCCAAGTCCTCCAAGCATCTTTTGCCCTTTTGAAACCCCTGGGCTAGGTCACTGCCAGCTAGCCCATCACATCTGTATCAAGCTCCATTAAGACAGCAACTTGAATTTAATTAAACACACAAAACCAGCACTTCAAATTTATTAAATAAAGCTAATGTTTTGGATACAGATATTTTTAAAAATCAAAACATGGTGCACACTTGCAACTAAAATTCATTAAACACTATGAACTGCAGTTAGTAAATTAAATCAATTATTTCAGGTCTTCCTGGGGAAAATTTTCTAAAACGCCTAGGTGAAAGTCATTTAAGTTCCTCCTTGCCTAATTCCTAGGAGAGTACTCATGGATAGTCTGCCCCACTGCTCTCCCCCTTCCCCTGGTTGGCAGTGGTAGATGAGGAGCACTGAGATGCTAGAGGACAAAGGCCTCCCTTGACACTCCAGAACCTGTGCAAATGTAATGGCAAACACTTCATTTTGAAGCTCTTCTAAATAGTAGTTGTTTCCTAGAAAGTTATTTTGGAACACTTCTGCTATTTTTGGAGTGTTTGAAGTGCATCAAATGCTCCACCTGTCCAAAGCATGGTGTGAGCAGTGTCGCAAGGGCAGCACCATCTGATTTGTTGGATACTGTCACAGGTAGGTCCTGACCTCTGATATTCTTTCCTTATGCTTCTGTGACTCTTCTGCACATATGCATATATATATGTTATTTCTCTGCACTGTCGAACATGTCTCAGCAGGAGGGTTGGAACAGTTCTTCCAAATAGTGGCCTGGTGATTGGGACACTCTTATGAGGTGACGTGATTTACACACATGCATACACACACGTCACATGCATGCACACATGCATGTGATATATCTATGTATATGTGCATCTGTATATATATACCAGTATGTGCATGTGTTTAGATGTAAATATGGTTGTAGAATATATATAGACACACACACATATATATATAAATATGCATGTGTATACACACATGCATATGTAATATGTGTGTATAAATGTCTGTGAATATATGTATATACACACACATATGCACATGTATCTGTGTATATATACCCAGTCTGTCTGTGTGTGTCCACGTTACTGCATACACCCACCTCCCGTAGGCACGCGCTTCCCAGTGTCACCGCTGCACTCCCCCCAGGCGCGGGACGGCTCCTCCCCTCCGGCGCGTGGGTGATGTGTCAGGACACAGCATCACGTGAGCTGGGGGCGGGGCTGGCGCACACCACGCGTGCCCCGCCTTCCAGCAGCCCCGCTACCACCCCATGTGCTTCGCAGCATCCCGTAGCGTCACTTCCCCCTCCACCTGCGTTCTAGGCGCGGCTGCTGGTGCTTCCGGGCGCGAGTCACGTAGCCGAGGGGGCGTGGCCGCCGGCTGACGCGCCAGGAGAGAGCGGTGCTCGCAGCCGGCAGGTGTCGGCGGACGTCGGGGGGCTGCGCTGGTGCGCATGCGGCGCCGAGATGGACCCGTGAGTGACCGTTGGCGAGGCGCGCACCGCTGGCGGGGGAGAGGCAGAGTCCGCGCGGCCATCGTGCTGCCCGGGGCGGGGAGAGACTCCATGTGCCAGCCCCCGGGCAGGGCAGCCCGAAGCCACACCTCGGTGACCAGGAACTAGCCCTGGGGTTGTTGCCCACGTGCAGGTGGCTGGGGGAGCCCTTTTTGAACGGGGGGGCTGAGGATTTGGCAGGGGTGGCCGTTTATTGTGCAGTGGTGCGATATAGGGAACGCATGGCGGGATCTACAGGCTTGAAGGCAGCTATGCTGGCCGGTTGGGTGCTTTCTGAGTCCTCCGCATCTGGAAAATGGGTCTAGCATTTTTTCTGTAATCCTCAAAAACCCTAAAAGCAGAGGGACAGCAAAGAGCTGGCACTTTCCCAGGATGCCTCATGAGCTGTTGCTCTAGGCGGGAGGCTTTCAAGCTGTTGGGTGCCCCCCTTGGAGGGAGGGGAGTGAAGGAACGCAGAGGCGCAGGCAGGAAGTGTGCAAGGAGCCAAGTGTTCCCACTTGTAGGCTTGCTAGGCACTTGCCATGGTCCTACACCCAAGGAAAGCCTGTCCCACCCAGCAAGTGCATGAAGACCAACCTTTGCTAGCTGGAATTGGGTGAGCCTGGGTAGCAGCACCTGGGGAGGTGTTGGGGGCCTGGAGTTAGCACCCCACACATCTCCAGGGGCTTGTGGCCGTGTGTAGTCTGCTCTGAAGCCTATGCTGCTACTGTCCCCCAGGCTTGCTAGAAGTGAGTTACTGCAGGTTCCTCTCCCTGAGCTGAAAGGACTCCTTCCTGTGCCTGGGCACTGGCAAGTGCTGCCAGAGTTGGAGGAGGGCTCCATTTCTCAGCTAGGAGAACTGTGAAGATCCACGCCTGTTTTTTCTCCAAAGTACTTTGAAATCTTTGTTCAAGTGAATGGAAGAGTCTGTTGCTGCTCAATGGTTAATAATTAAAACAAACAAAACCCCCATCGCTGCCCTAGATGCCCATCTGTATGGCAGAGAAGTGCTCGTGACTAACTGGTTTCATCAATAAATGCAGACCTTAAAAATCAAAACAGCTCACTTTTAAAATAGTAATGTACAGCAGTAATTTACAGCTACATAGCAATTGCTACCTAAAAGCAGTCTCAGCTTTTTATATAGTTATACCCTCTTTCATTAGCTACTATAGGACTGTCTAGCTGGGAGCCTGTGAACCACACGCAGCCTTTGATGGGTTAAAGTGTTGCCCCTAGGCTCATGCCTGGCAGCTGCTCTCCAAATCATTCTGGCTGAATGCATTCAGTGTCTCCAAGCTCCAGTTTTCACTGTCTGCCCTTGTGCCAGGGGACAGAGAAGTGCAGCATGGTGTGGTCTCCAGGGAGCTGAGGATGAGTCTGAGCTGTGTGTGGGAGCAATGCGGTGGGGGGGGGGGGGGCCTTGCCCCGGGGTTTGGGGGGGGGGGGGGGGGGGGGGGGGGGCCTGCCCCCGGGTATGGGGCGGGGGGGGGGGGGGGCCTGCCCCCGGGTATGGGGCGGGGGGGGGGGGGGGCCTGCCCCCGGGTATGGGGCGGGGGGGGGGGGGGGCCTGCCCCCGGGTATGGGGCGGGGGGGGGGGGGGGCCTGCCCCCGGGTATGGGGCGGGGGGGGGGGGGGGCCTGCCCCCGGGTATGGGGCGGGGGGGGGGGGGGGCCTGCCCCCGGGTATGGGGCGGGGGGGGGGGGGGGCCTTGCACCAGTGTATGATGCAGTGGAGGGTGGAGTTTACAGTGAAGTGTAGTGCTGTGGGGTGGCATCTGGTAGTACAGCAGCTGGGGGTGTCCGTGCAGCCTGAGGGGCCTGTGGCTTGCCCTGGGCCCATGGGCATTTGTCTCCCAGCTGCTTATAAATTGGACAGCCATGAGTTATCATAATGGCAGCATGCTAGGAAGAAGGAACCTGAGGTCTTTTGGGTAGCATGGGAGAGCAGAGATCACGAAGGAGTGTATGGGTGAATGTAAATATAGTTATGGGGTGGGGCAGGGTAGCACCTTGGAAACTAACTGGTCCAGAGAAGCATGCACTTTTGTAAGCAGCAGCCTACTTTGTTAGATTCTAGGTGACAAAGTAGGTTGTTGCCTACAGAAGCTCATGCCTCTCCGCACCAGTTAGTTTTCTGCCTGACTTCAGGTTACCATGGCTAAGCACCCCTCTCTCAGTGTAGCTAAAATATTTAAACAGTTTCAACCAAAATCATCCTCTTGAGCAATCTAAAATGAGAGAGAACAGTGTGGATGGAGAGATGACTGGGATGGTTGGAAGAGTGCATCAGTGAGGCCATAAGACTAAAAGAGTGCAGGTGACCTGGGTTCTACTCCCTGTTTTGACACTGGCCTCCTGGGCTACATTCAGCAAACCACTTAATTTCCCCTGTGCCACAGCTTCCCCATCTGTAAAATAGGTATACTTGGTGCTCTGAGATCCTTGGGTGAGAAGTACGGTAAGAAGTGCTTGTGCTTCTATGATAAAAATAATGTTCATAGAAGAGGGTGACTGGCTAGCTGCATGTTCAAAACATTGTTGCTAATGTGTCACTGTGGATTGTATGCTTGCAGTTCATGCACTATTGTGGCTTCTCTGAGTTTAAAAGACAATTAGCATGAGAGCAATTGCTTTCGGTGGTGGTCTGAACTGGGATGTTACTTGATCTTAAAAGCTAAATTAAATATTAATTAGTGGTCACTGAAATATTACAGTTTAGTAGTTATTTAAATTTTTCAGGAATTGGTCAGTTGGCAGTTTCCATAATGAATTAATTCAGAGTTCCTGGAAATCTGGATACTTAGCATTGGAGGGCTAAGTTTTGACACCCCTTTCTGTGTCTTCCAGTCTGTGGACACATCTATACCAGGGATGTCAAACACATGGTCCACAGGATGGATCTGGCTTGTGAGAGGCTGGGGACTTGAAGGCAAGACCAACAGGGGTGGGTGGTGTGCACTGCTGAGATCTAGGGTAGGGAACTCTGTTGTGGATGCATGTTGGCAGCAGAGGGTGAGCACCAGTTCCTCACCATGTTGCTGGAGGTGGGTCTGGATCAGGGCCATGAAGTTCCTTGGGGTCTAGATCCAGCCCACAAGGAGCTCCACCACAGTCTGGATCTGGCTTGAGGGGCCTGACAAGTTTGACAGCCCTGGTTTACTCTGCAATGGCAGCAGTATATTGTAGGCATAACCAAGCTAGCTGCAAACTAGTGCAGGTGTTGGTAGCAATCTGGTTGCAGTGTCCTGGGACTTAGGACGAGTTGCAAGACTTCCTGAGGTGATGGGTCACTAAACAAACAGTTAGCCAACACTAAACTGCTTGTGTCCTGGCTAAACTGCCTCTCTTTGCATTGCAGTGTTGACATACTCTGTATTGATACGTGTACATACGCCTTTGTCTACATTTGTCCAGTCACAATGGATGACTTCAGTAAAGTTTGCTTACCATTTGAGCAAACCTTTAGAGATCACGTAACTTATGCTTTGCCTTTCCCAGAGGTGATGTGAACAGACTTTGACAACTGTTTGTTAGGGAAGCTTTTAGTAGGAGATTATCAACTTGCATTTATATAATTAGTATAGTATAGGACAAGAGCCTCTTATAGGTTTAATAATAAGTACATAGAGGGATTACTTTACCTGTCTCTCATATGCTTCTATCTGTGGATTGGAACAAGGCAAGTTAACAGAGGAACTGAATGTTGAATGGGGGACAATAGAAAAGGCTGTCCCTGATAGAAACTACTGTAGAATGTTACTTTTATGTTAATTGAAGTTTAGCTGAGGTGTTCTTATTTTTGCTCTTATGAAAACAGCTATTGGACTGTAGTGACGCAAGTCATAGGGTGTCTGTTTTTGCACCTGCCAAAATTAGTGACCTTTAGAACAAATCTGATATAGATGCTAGGGTAAATTGCCAATATGTCAGTCTGTCTTGGTGTTTTAGTACAGTTCAGGTGATAGAACATTGTGGCTCTGATGAGCTTAAACTCCGGCAGGTTCACAGCAAATGGCTTCAGAGATTGTGGTTGAAGTCTGCAGGCTCATTTTAACACCAGTAATCTGTTAATTTAGATACCTAATAATTAATTTGGTATCACTATGTTAAAATGTGTAAAGTTCTTCATTGAGATCTACAGCTCGGGGGTCAAAAATGTTGCAACTTGGCCTATGGCTGTAGTAATGTTGTAATGAAAAGTTTGGCAGTAACTTAAAAAGAACACACATCATCTAAGAGAGAGTCTGACTGGTTGAGATTTGTAAGAATTCCTTTCTACTTCTGAAGCTGAAAATAAAATAAATGCAGAAAAGAAGATGGAAAGGGTGTTTTCTGTGTCCCAGTAAGTAAGTAGATTACTAGAGAAGTCTGGCATGCTCTGGAAGTCTTGGGATCATCGCATTCAAATCCCCTCTCTAGGGCAACTAAAGTGGTCTTACTCTGGAATCAGCGGGTGCGTCTACGTGTTCATTAATGCACCGTAGTTATGGCACGTGCCCAGAGAGTATCATCAGAATTGCTTGCTTCCAAAATTGGAAAGATTATTGATAGGGGTACAGTGAAACATTTTCTTGGCTAATACCAATGGCCAATTATTAACCAGCCATATTGGCTGATATGAGTCCAATAGCTAACATACAGGAATACAGCCTGGCAGTTTGGAGAGTAGCCTCCTGTTGGTAAGTCTGTGGTGTAGAAGGAGGTCGGGGGGAGGGAGGGGGAGGTGGTGTGCAGATTGAGTCTCCCACAGTAAGGGAGAGAGTGGGGCAGGGGCAGGCGCTGCCCAGCCAAGGGGGTGAATACGACCCCACAAATGGCTCGTCCGGGAGGTGCAGGGGGTGGAGAGCGGGGGCAGCTCCCTGCTGCTGTGCACAACACCAGGGGAGACATGGGAGCACGTGTCACCCTGGATATGTGCTGGGCAGAGGCGGGTTGCCCACTGCAGGCTTGGCACCGGGGCTGCGCTAGCCTCTTCCTGGT